CAATCTTTCACTAATAATAGGTTGGATTCGTGTATATTTTGAAAATTGTAAACTTTGTCCTGTGGGACTTCATGGAGCTAAGTTTCTCACTGGCAACATTTTGGTCCCATAGAATCCTGTGCATTCCTTGTGGAAATTCTGAGGATAAGAACTATGCAGGGCCACTGGGCCCCCAAATATAGGTATCCCCACCCTGACTTCTCACCTGCTGCTCTCCCAATAGCCCACAGCCACATTCCTACTGTTATTAGCAATGAAGGGCCAAGTGATGCTTTCTTTAGGTGCAGGCCTGTTTCAGAGCATTTTTATACCTTCTTGTTTTCATCCTCACCATCTAATTACTCCTTAAATAACTTTGTGTTGGGGAGGGGACAAATGTTATTGTCCCATTTTATAGACAACAAATGCAGTCATAGAAAGGCTAAGAAACTCAGCCAGAGTCATATACTGAGTCAGTATCAAACAACCCTCTCCTCACTCCCTGGCCAACCCTTGCTCTACTGGGATGTTTCTCCTTCACTTCCTCAGAGTGAGAACTGAAGCTTTCACTGTAAGAGGAACAGCGCTTGGCTGTGAGTTAAGGAGCCCTGGGTTCTAGTCAAACTCTGCTGCTTACTAGCCCTGTAACAGAAAAGTTCTGGAATGTCTCTGAGCCTCAGTTTCCTCAACTGTAAAATGGGGAAAATGCTAGTACTGCCTTAAGGAATTGTCATGAGGGTCAAGTGAGATAATGTATATAAAGCACTTTGTAAACCTAAAGTGTGTGAGCTGCTATGAACTAAATCCTTTTGGCTCCTTTGTGAATCACTACAGCCTATACCACACAATGATGGACGGTCTGTGGTTTATATTGCTCTCTCCTTGTCCCACATGTGCACACACTTTGTCTTCCCAACTAGACTGTGAGCACCTTGAGGGCTGGCATCCTGTCCTCTCTTGTATGTTCCATAGGGCTCAGCAGAGAGTTGGTCAATACAAGTTGGCACTCAATACAACTTGCTGAATTGAATTTAATCCCTCCTGGTAGAGCTCCTGAATCTTCTTCTGCAAACTTTAATTATACTTTGATTGATCCTGATCTTGTTCTGGGGTTATTAGGAAAAGTACGGCTTCTAGAAGACCTGATAAAATGTTTGTGTTGGGGCAGCTAGGTGGCACAGTGGATAGAGCACTGGCCCTGAAATCAGGAGGACCTGAGTTCAAATGTGGCATCAGACCAAACACTTGACCCTTACTAGCTGTGTGACCCTGGGCAAGTCACTTAACCCCAATTGCCTAAAAAAAAATAAATTAAAAAAAGTTTGTGTGTTTGCTTTATCTCTCTCTACTATAAACTTCATGAAGGCAGGGTCCATAGTCCTACTCATCCCTGTATCTGCCACTCTGACCAATCAGTTACTATTTGCTGAATAGATGAATGAATGGATCTGGAAGGTGCACAGATTGAATTGTAGATTCTCTACAAGAATAAGTACAATTGGATCATCTGAGAGGAAAGAGGACATAATCTCAGGACTGTTATGGAAGGCACATAGATCATGGTTAGATCTTTGAACACCAAGAGAAAGCCTATTCCTTCTAACCAAACCTCTGATTCTGTTGGTCTGATTTCATTCTAGGCCAGTGGCTTCCACTTAGATGGTCCCAAGGGGTTTGCACTAAAAAGTCTTTAATGGCACCTTAAGCAGTAAATAATTGCCCATTTATGTTAAAATTTTTCTATTTTATTATTATTATATAATGTAAATTTTAATTTGGAGTATTTTTGAGCAAAAGTTATTGTAGTTATTATAAGCACTTAACTGAATAATCTAAAAGACTATTATGAGAGCATATTAAATTACTGGGAGGGTTGAACACATTTTTTTCTTGTTAAAAGGGGTTCATGGAATATAAAATATTGGGAGCCACCGCTCTGGCACAAGAAGCAGTAGTATTTAGAGCCGGAGTTCCTATGCAGGGTTGCTAGCTACTGGTCAGTGGAAGATGGCCAGTGATAGTCTTGTAAATCTGACTCAATCTCTTTCAATTCCCTCATTTGAGAGTTGGCTTCAGCATCATGAGATGTGCCCAACACTTCTGCCAGGAGAGCCGTGGCAGCATGAACTCTTAAAAGTTTTTTTTTCAAATTTTTAACAAATATTTATTGATCACTTCTTTGTGCAATGCAATTCTTTCTGTGTTTTACAAGGCACTTGTAGCAAGTGGCAAGCCATTAGCTATTTCTCTCTCTCCCTCTCTCTCTCTCTCTCTCAATGTTACAATCATTGGATTATAGATTTGGAGCTATAAAAAGACCTTAATCATCTAGTCCATTGATGTCTTCTTTAAAATATCACAATCATTTCCTGATACTCCCCAAACCAGTGATCCTTCCCTTGTAATAAAGAAAAACAATTACACGTAGGTCCAGATTAGTACAAATAATGAATCCCCAGAATCGATCACAGTATTAGATTTGTACATGTTTTTCCATGGGGCTGAAATCAATTATCCTATTTTACATAATTGTAACTTCTAATAGTGTGAATTTCAATACATGCAATCACTTCAGGAGATTCATTAATTTGCACTAATTGGGGCCTGGCTATATGCGAAGCTGAACTAAAAAGCATATGCAACATTTCATACCAATGGTCCCCCACTTCTCTACAGAAAAGAGAGCTAGATCTTCAGTGCTCCCCTTTGCAGAGGAGATATTCTGAACATTCCCACGAAATACACAGTTATAGTCATATTTAAAATAAGGTTCCAAATCTGACTGCAAATAGCAGGCTTGATGCTGTTGGTAATAGGTACCACAGTAGTCAAGTTGTAACTCAGCCTTCATCCCTTGCCAATACCACAAATAATTGCTTTGTTGGGTTAAATCAAAATCTATAGAACTCAAACTCCTGGCCATTGATATGGAAGCTCTAGTTTTAAATAATAGCAACAAAGGTAAGCATAGAAGTTGCTTCCTTCAGAAATCTGACTGCAAATAGCAAAAAACCTCAAAACTATATTTCTATTTATCTATCTTTATATGTACATAGAGATAGATAGATGCTGAACCAAGATACACAAAACGGCCCCCTGGGCAGTACTGCTCACACACATGCTCTGGTCCCATAGGCCAAATGGGTGTTATGGTTTTCCATAAAGGGACAGTTTACCACTTGGATTCTCTCCCCAGGGTAATAGGTAAAGGGAAGGTTTTTGTTGTTTTTAAACATGGCCGTTACTTGTTTACTTTTCAGAAAAGGGATCTGGGGGATGAAGAGTATAGTCAAAGAATTTCTACATCCTGGTGAATAACAATTTCCCCCTCCCCGCAAGTACGTCCCCTACCAGGGCTGAAGCTTGGACCCCTACTCCCCAGTGGAATGGCCACTCACATAAAGTCAGGGAATATGCACATTGTGGGAACAGGGGAAAAATGAGGGAACCAAGAGGACTGTATAACAGAGGGACTCATTTTCCTTTAAATAATTTTTTTCCCTTTTTTCCTTCTGCTTTTAGTGTATCTACACTATGCATATTTTGTGCTTTCTAATTAATCCCTTTCCTCCCTCCCCTCCCCAATTCTACACAGTGGCTTGCACTTGGGTTTGGGATGAGGAAGAAGAAACATGGGTGCCATAGATAGAACAAGGCTGATAGGGAGAGATCCAGTCTACATGACACCTCCTTAGTATCCAATAAGGGTTGCATGGATTTGCTGTAGCCTTTAGGTCCACATATGTAATGACTAGTAAAGATGAATTAGCAGGGCTTCATCATCAAACCAGAAAGAAAAAAAATTTAGGGCCCTCCCAGAGACCCCAGACCCAGAATACCACAGACATGCTCGGCTTCTCCCCCAACTCTGCCACATTCAAGAGGAATCATCCTCTGTTTCCTAGAACCCAAATTGGTAATTGTAAATAATCTGAGTTCAGCTGCCTTTTAAAGTTCTTTTCACTTACATTCTTGTAGTCATTGTGCTAGGTACTGCCAAAGACAAAGGGTTAAAGGGAAGAAGGAAACAAGCATTTATTAAGCACCTACTATGCCAGGCTCTATGCTAAGTGATTTACAAATACTATTTCATTTGATCCTCACAAAAACCCTAGAAGATAGGTGCTATTATTATCCCCATTTTACTATTGAGGAAACTGAGGTTAGGTGACTTGCCCAGGGTCACACAGCTTGTGTCTGATGCTGGATTTGAACTCAGGTCTTCCTGACTCTTGACCTAGCTCTCTATCTGCTATACTACCTAGCTGCCTCACAAAAGAAAAAACACAACCTCTATCCTCAAGGAGTTCTGAGGGGGTCTTTTAGTGTACTCTTGTTTCTGCTTTACCTTTCCTGTTCATAGTACTCTTCCCATATTTTCCTAAATTACACAAAATTCATAGCCATTTATATGATTAAAGACCAAACTAGTCCATCAAAGGGAGAAAAGCAAATTATTATAGTGTACTGTTTAGTTTTCTGTTCCAAAACTCTTTTGTTAAAAATAAGGACATCTGCCTTTATTAAGGTATTTATGATGTGGAAATAGGCTTGCATTTCAAGAAATACATGTATTTATTTCACATTAGGGAGTCAGTCTCAATAAACCTCTTTTCCTGTGCTTAGGGTGCTTATTTAGCACCAAAGCTACCCTCGGATACAATACCGTTTTCTACAAAATTAGCCAGAATTCAGTCTTTAGACTCTATGTGCTGCCTAAATACTTCCACCTATTCTGAATGCTTTTTATGAGTGGCTTTAACTTGAGGTTCCTTTTTCTCTCCTGTCTATTTGTGTCCAGTTTTACTACTCATTTACTATGCATTTGTTAATTAACCTCTCTGTTTCCTCATCAATAAAATATAGTTATTAATAGCTGGATCTTGCTTCACAGGGGTACGAGAAGTTAATGAGATGTTCCTGAGACTCCCTGACCTTCTCATAAAGGAAGGGACTGCATAAGTATATCGTGATCTGCCTGAGCATCTGTTTATTTCTGAATCCTTTTCTTTTGTCTTCAGACGCCAGAGCCAGCAGAGCCCTCCTCAGGTGATGTTGAATTGGAAGACAACCAGCTCCTCTCTGCCACAGTGGATGTAGACAAGCAAAGGCTGAGCCAGGAAACTGATGAGGATTATTTTGAGACCCAGTCTCATCAGAGTGAGTGTCCATCGGATGTAAAAAGTGAGCCATTTGAGAGCGCTTCTGATACCGACTCACTGCCCAGTGACATCACAGCAGAAGCCTACTCCAGTCCATATCTCCTGGCTTGTGAGAAAGAAGCAGCATGTGATGTGTCTTCAGATGTTGGGGCAGCCAGTTCCCCTCAGGAATGTCATCTGGCTGATGCTCAGGGGCTTGGGTCAGAGCAACAGGTGACATTGCCTCCTGACTTAAAGGGATATACATGCAGAGGTGAAATCATATTCTCTGCAGGAACTGAGAAAGGACAGACAGAAGACACAGAGTTGTCCAGCCTAGAGCAGGACCCCGAGTTGCCTTTTGAATCTTTGCTGGTGACCATCCCTCTACAAACTGACATTGGATCAGAAAGCAGCAAAGAGGATGGTAGCTTCCCACCAGCCAAAGAGGTTCCTGTGAAAGGTCCTACAGTGATCTCAGACAGTCCTCTTGAAGAATGCAAATCAGAAAGCTTCCTGAGTGCTCTAGCACCCCATCTGTTTCCTTTCTGGTCCTGCAAATGGGGCCGGAGTTTGTCAGATAGCTCCCTCGAGAAAAACAGACTTGACCCCAAAAGGAACAAAGAGGAATTGGTTCCCCATCTTTGGCATGGGTCAGTGCCCCACATAGGTTGCCTTGGGAGGAAATTCTATAGTAGTGAAACCTCTTTATTTTCAAGAACAAGGAAGAAAATTCCAGAGACAAGAGGAGAAACAGACTTGCCCTTATACCCACCCTGCCTAAAACTGCCGTATTGGGCCCCTATCAGAACCCCTAACTTCCAACAGACTAAACTATGTCACAGCGTTCCAGAAAATATTGGTTCTCAAAGCAGGGGACCTTCAGAATACTGCTGTCGGTGTCCAAGTACACTTAGGAGAACCAGATCTGTAGCAAGTTTTCCTACAGGACATCCTGAGGGCCCCAGGAGAAAAGATTTTGGCAAGTTTGAGAGTCATTCTAAGGGAGCAAAAAAAGTGGAACAAGCTCTAAGGATACTACACATCATTAGTCCTGGTGCCTGCCCAGACCCTGTGCCCAGTCAGCTCCCACATCCACCTACTGTGGGCGATACTGACCCACAGGATCATCCAGAATTCCATGCTTTTAATTTAGAAAAAAGCCTGCCTGGGGAAGACCTCAAGCTGAAAGGCTGGTCGGGGCATGATTCAGAGCAGTGCCAGAATTCTATACATCCCACTTCAGAGTCATTGAGCATCAATGCTGAGAAACTGCCTGGGCCCACCGATTGCGGGTCTAAACACGACAGAGAAACCCATGAGTTGCTTCGTGGCATTGATGTTACCTCTAAAGCTACCAGTGTGAATGATAAACAAAAGCATCCCATAGATATTTCTGTCAAGACAGGAAATCAAACCAGTAATTATACACCAAGGGATGTTCCAAGCAAGGAAATAAGTCTCTCCACTAACCTCAAACAAATTGAGCTTCAATCCTCGAGTCATTGGAGCAACAGTGTGGCCCAGACAGGGGATAGAGACCCGATGGGTTGTTCTGGACTGAATCTGAGTTCAGATGATCCAGAGACCACACTAAAATCAAGTGAAAGAGATATTGCAAAGGAAGCAGAGACAGTTATGGTACTGGATCCCAGCTGTAGAAACAGGGCATCAGGAGATTATTCTGATGTGACTGGAACTACTTTGCCGGAAGCAAGCACTGAGGATGAAACATATGCTTCTGGATCAGCTGATAGGACCACACCCCCTCCAGCTTTCCAGCAGCCTGAGGACAAGACAGGGAAAAACTCCAAGGGCAAATCAGGGCTCATCATTATAGCTGTGGAGCAGAAGGGTTTGCAGGCTACCAGGCGGAAACCAAATCCTACAAATTCTGTTTCAGAACTTTGGCCAAGTAAGACCCTTGGAAGCTTCCGGGATGAAAACTCAGGATCATCCAGTGATGCCCCCTCAGCTCTCTGTGGGCTCAATGGGGCTGAGGAAGTAGAAACTGATGGCAGCGAATGCAGGTTCCATGAATCAACTATCTTAGAAAGCAAAAATGAGTCTCTGGTTGTATCCAGAGAAAACACAGACTTGGGGCAACAGGTAGCTGAGGAAACAGCCTTGGAAGTAACTCAGGTGCCTGATGCTGCCCCAGAAGAGGAGCCCCTGGGTGATGTTAACTTGCTTTTGGAAGGACCACAAGAAACTGACTCAAGCATCCTAGGGAATGAGTCCTTCCACTCAGGGAGTGTGAAGGGGGATATAGACGATGGACTGGATGACCCCTCAGAAAGAGAGTTGCTAGTTGATAGCCAGAACTCAGGGGCCAGACTTGATACAAAGCAAGTAGATGTGGCTCCAGAGAAAGAGAATGAACATGACATCTGTGTGGCTCATTTGATTCTGGAGGAGACAGATGCCACTCAAACATCTGGTTGTCTGAATCTCACTGATGCAGCCTTGGAAGACACCACTAATGCAGAAGAGACCCCCAAAGGGGGAGGAATTGAAAGAGAGAGCAAAGACCTGAGGCCACTGAGCCCTGGTGATTATTTTCCTGATACGGAAACCAACCTGAGCTCCATCTTAGAAGAAGGAGAAGCTGATGAGCATAGCCGTAGCCTTACAGGGCCCAAGGCCTCTCCTAGTCAAGAAAAAAATTTAGATCCAACTGCCCCTGAACTACTTGACATTAGTTTTGGCAACATCAACTGTGACGACCTGGAGGCACTTTCCCTTCATCATTTGGGAAGTAATGCCAGCCACTATAAAGCTGCACAGAAAGGGAACAAGACTGGCCTAGCTGGAAGGCCCTCCAAGTTCCTTGTTTTTCCCAAGATGGCCTCCTTCAAGAAAAATAAAACCTCAGGGGTTGAAAACTTTCTAGGTAGCAGCACCCGCATCAGCAAGATGAAGGTAGAGGACCCAGATGTAAGTAAAGATGATGGGGTGCAGCAGAGCCCTCAGGCACTGAATACTGACTTGTCCAGTATCATCTCTCCAAGCAAGGAGAATTGCACCTTGGAATATTCAGATGATGAAGAGCTCAATGACAAACGTCCATTTAACAGGATTAGTTTAAGGAGGGCTTCTGGGGCTGGCAGGATTCCTTTGGAAGACTTAGACATGAGTATTCCCTATCCAAAATGTGATAGGGAAGGGGGAGGAGAAAAAGGAGGCAGGTTAAGCTTACCAGAAAGTAGTGGTATGGAGATACCAGAAGATTTCGCTGCCAGACGGCTGTCCTCCGAAAGTAATGAATCAAAGCGATTCAAAAGCACAGAAAAGAAAATCAGGACTAGGCTGGCTCTTGCTCATAAATCCTTTTCTAACTTCTTTGAACCCAAAGGTCTAGAGAAGGAGAATGCTGACCAGAGTTCTAGATGTTCACTTAAGATTGAAAAGGAGAAGACCAAACTGCGCCAAAGCTCCTGGAAAACATTACTGAAAGGCAAAGAAAGTGATGGAATGAGAAGGCCAGCTTTAGCAAGCCTGGCTCAGTCTCAGGAAATCCTACAATCCCCCAGTTGTCCGCTGCAAGGGGTCAGTGATGAGGGTGGGAAACTAACCAATGACAAGGAGGGGCAGTCCAAGAAGCAGACATTTCTAAGTGCTCCCTGTGTCCCTCTGCAAGTCCCCTGCTCCACCATGCCAGCCAGGGATTTGGCATCACCAGATCAAAGGAGAAAAAGTGAACCAGCCATCAAATGCATGACCGCCCGAGAAAGTGGAGAACCCCTGCAGACAATGGGGGGTAGTTTGGCTGTCTTTCCTGAGGAAGCCTGGCTGAAATCACCTGGCAGTCCCTCGATCCATCAGATCACATCCCTTAGCTACCCCTGCTCCCCTGTGTATGACAATAAGGACATGCCCTGCAAGCCAATGAGTCCCAAACCCCAGAGCCCCAGGCCCAATGCTCAGTGCAGAAGCTTCCAATACTCTGGGAGGGTCAATGCCATCTCCATGATTTCTCTGGGGAACTACTATAATACAGATGGCAGTTCTGAGGCACCTGAGAGGCCAAAGACCCTCAAACCCCGAGCCACTTTCCTACTTTCCTTGCATGACTTGGACCAAGAGTGCCAAAAGGAAGAGAATGGGACAAGCCCCCTGTCTCAGGGTAGCTTGACCACAGCGTCTTCTGCTCAGGAGGTCCTGGAAAATAAGGTGAGTTCTGTGCAAAATCATGCTGGCTAGGTGTGCATCTTGCTTCTAGATGGATGTACGTTGTTGAGAGTGAGATCTGATTTTTATGAATGAATGACAGTTCAAATCTAGGCCCAAAGAATATCAAAGATTTCGCATAAAAGCAGCCTCATGGACCACCCAACCATGAATTAGGTCGAGTTGCATCTAATCAAATTAGATTTTGAGCAGAGTGCAGTGGAAAGAACATTGGATTTTGAAGCTGAAGATTTGAGATAGAGCCTTGACTCCTTTTCTTGTTAGCTGTGCGACTGTAGGAAGGCCATGTCATCTATCTGAACCCACTGGAAAAATAGAATGATACTTACATTACCTACCTTACAGAGTTGTTGTGAGGAAAGCAGCTTGTAAAAAGTAGCATATAAGTGTGAGCTACTATTATAAGTTATCAAGCACTTATCTAAGACCTAACCCTGTGCTAGGTGTGGTAGGTAGGGACAGGAGAAGAGTAAATCATTGTCTTTCCCTCCAGGAACTTATAATCTACTTGAGAAGACAAGAATAGCACACATAAAACAATTGTGGCCAGAGAACATGACAGATTTCTGGCAAAATTCTATAACATATGATTAAAGAGATTGTGTGTGTGTGTATGTGTGTGTGTGTGTGTGTGTGTATGTGTGTATGCATGCACCCGCACTTATGAGAGCTGTGGTCATAAAGAGCCTGGCAGCATGGTTTTACCAATATAGTCTAGCCTCCTTGAGAGCAGAGACTATTTTATATCTGCCTTTGTATCCCTAGGACAGTGACTTACATATAACAGGTACCTAATTAATGCCTATGGAATTTAAAGAACAGGTTATGCCAGACTTACCATATTTCCTTTTTCAACCAGGGTAACTAGATTGGTGGGCAGTTAGGTGGTGCAGTGGATAGAGAGCTGGGCCTAAAGTCAGGAAGACTCCTTTCCGTGAGTTCAAATCTGGCCTCAGACACTTGCTAGCTGTGTGACCCTAGGCAAGTCACTTACCCCTGTTTGCCTCAGTTTCCTCATCTGTCAAATGAACTGGAGAAGGAAATGGCTAACCACGCCAGTGTATTTGCCAAGAAAATCCCAAATGGGGATATGGGGAATAGGATGTAACTGAAAAACAACTGAAAACCAGATAGGAAAATTAGGGAAATCATATAAAAATAATGATAATAGCACTTTAAGGCTTACAATATGTATTATCTTATTTTGATCATCACAATGATCCTGGGATGTAGGTGAAATGTATCCCCATTTCATAGACACTCGGGCCAAGAGAAGTTAAATCAATTACCCATGATCACATAGCTAGTAAACATCTGAGGCAGAATTTGAACTCAAATTTTTTTGACTCTCAACTCCATTTCCAAGTACCACCTAGCTGCCTCCTACTATACAGAGTATAAATACAATATACTTTGATTTCAGAAAAGCATTTCACAAAGACCTTTGTACTATCCTTGAGGACAAGATGTAAAGATACTGGCTAGATTAGAGTGCAGTTGGGTGAATCTAGAGCTAGTTGGACGACTATATCTGAAGAATAGTCATTAAGGGCTTGATGTTAATTTAGGGGGAGGTCTTCTGGTAGAATATACCACCTGTTCTTAGCCCTTTAATGTTCAACATTTTTATGAATGATTTGAATGGAGGCAAAGATGACATGCTTGTTAAATTTGCATAATTTTTTACTTCAATCTGAGAGGCATAGCTAATATGTAGGATGAAAAAAGTACAGATTCAAAAAGATATCAACAAGCTAGGGGCAGCTAAGCGGTGCAGTGGATAGAGCTCTGGCCTTGGAGTCAGGAAGACCTGAGTTCAAATCCGCCCTCAGACACTTGACACTTACATTTACTAGCTGTGTGACCTTGGGCAAGTCACTTAACCCCAATTGCCTCACCAAAAAGCAAAAACAAACAAACAAAAAAAAAACAAACAAACAAACAACAAAAAAAAAACAAGCTAGAACAATGGGGCCAAAGTTGATAAGATGATATATAAAAGGAGTAAATGTTAGGATCTAGACCTGGGTTCAAAAAATCAAGTACAGAATGGAAGAAAGATGCTGAAAAACATGTGGGGATATTAATGAACTATATGAATCACATTATAAATGGTAGTCTAAAAAAGCTAAAGCTTTCCCAGACTGTATTAAGAAAGGTATAGTATAAACAATAAGGAATATAATGGTCCTACCATACTCTGCCTTAGTCAAACCACATCTGGAATAATCTGGGTTTTGGCACCATATTTTGAGGAATACATAGAGTAAGTCCAGAAAAAGACAACTTAAGATAATGCGGTGAGGAAAGGTTGGAGGAAGTAGCTCATATAAGATTTAAGGGTCACATATTTACTATCCTCAAATATATAAAAGAATGTCATATGAAGGAGGGATTAGACGTGTTCTGTTTGACCCTAGTGGTCAAAATTAAAATCAGAGTGTGGAAGTTGCAGAGAAACTTAGGTTTGATATAAGGAAAGACTTCTAATGATTAGAGCTGTCCAAAAGTATAATAGTTGGGGTTGGGGAGGGGATTGCTTTGGGAAATAGTGGCTTCCCATTCAGGAAAAGTCTTCAAGCAAAGGATGTAGGACTTCTTGTTGGTGATATTGTAGAAGAGATGCTTATTCAAGTATGGCTTGCATTAGATGACTTCCAAGGTTCCTTCCAACTCTGTTTCTGTGGACTATGTAATGATAGAATCAATCAACAAACATTTATGAAGTACTTACTAGAGGAAAAAGGAAGGGAATAAGCATTTATATAGTGCCTACTATGTGCCAGGCATTGTTCTAAGTGTTTTTTACAAATATTATCTCAACATCCCTACTAAATAAACACAATTATCATCCCCATTGTACAGTAGAGGAAATTAAAGCAAATGGAGGTAAAATGACTTGCCCAGGGTCAAACAGCTAGTAAGTGTCTGAGGTCAGATTTGACTCTAGGCCCAGCACTCTATCCATTGTGCCACAAGTTGCTTTTTACTACATACCAGCCACTGTGATAAACACTGAGGATAAAAAGAAAAAGCAAAAGCAGCTCATACCCCAAAGGAGCGTGCATTCTAATGGTGTAGACAAATATTAATTGGAACTTACAAAGTAAATAGAGAGTGCAGGGAAGATAATCTTAGAGGTGGAAGACATTAGCAGTTAGGGGGATCAAGAAAGGCCTCTTGAGGAGATTCAAATATATACTATAAGACAGTATATCTTATATGCTATGAGTGAATGATGCAGACTATTAAGTGCCATAGGAATTCAAAGAAGTGAAAAATTGTTCATAGATACAGATCCAGAACTTGAATGGTTTTCAGCAGTCATCTAGTCCTACACATTCATTTTATAGTTGAAGAAATGGTGGTCCAGAGAAGATCTGTCTTGCCTAAGTTCATACAGGTACTGAGTAGCCAGGGCTTTTGGGAGAAAGTAGAGTTTGAGGTAGCCCTCAAAGGATGGGTAGAATTTGGAGAGCAGCTAGAATGGCCCTCTAGAGAAAAGAAAACAGCACAAGAAAAGGCACAGAAGTGCCAACAAGCATACTGACCTCAAAGGACGAGAGAGACTCATTTGGTTACAGTTGAGGATTAATGTCGGAGATGAATAGGGAATGGTGTTAGATAAGAGATTGGGGACTTACTGCAGTGGACAAAGCTGGCCCTCATCACAATAGTGAATATAGGGACATTGGACAAGACTCAACCCCAACCTTCAAACTTGATTCCCTTCCATCTCGGTGTTGCCACATTCCCTCCATCCCAGGGACTCAATTCTCTTCTGCCCCAGCATCTACTTTCAGGAAGGAGTCCTGGAAATAAACTGGAGCTGGACTTCTCATATAGGGAAGAAATGGACAGCCCAATTACTACACTTGAGGCCATGGAATGTTAAAAAAAAAAAAAAGAAAGAAAGAAAGAAAGATCTTGAAAAAGCCTTCTAGGTTGGGTTTGCTTTTCTGTGGAGGATTTGTGGGCAGAATCCCAGAATTAGAAAGGACCTCGGAAGCCTAGTAGTCTAACCCATACCTGTACACCTACCTTAAGAATACTCATTTAGATCCCCCTATTTTCATTAGAACACCTCTAGTGAAGGGGAACCTATTATATCCTGAGGTAGTACATTTTCTTTTTGGACAATTCTAATTGTTAGGAAGATTTTCCTTAAGTAAACCTTAAGTTCCTTAAATAACTTCTGCCCATTTCCTAGTTCCATCCTCTGAGGCCTCTGGGATCAAGCATTACAAGTCTAAGCATTCTTTCACATAACAGACTTCAGATCTTTGAAATCAGCCATCATGTCCACACCCAACTTTTCTTTTTCTCCAGGATAAACATCCCTTAGCACCTTCAATGCTAATGCATGAACTCAAGGTCCTTCACTGTGCTGGTTACCTTCTCTGAGAGTTCTTTAACCTGTCTTTCCCAAAATATGGCACCCCAAACTAGATACAGTCCTCCAAATGGGAATTGACCAGGTCAGAATACATTAACATCTCCCTTGTCCTGGATCTTGTACTTCTCTAAATGTAATCTGATTATTTTCTTTTATCTGATTATTTTCTTTGGCTTCTGTATCACATTGTTGGCTCATTGAACTTATGGATATTAATAACTTTTCTCAGATGAAGTGCTGTCTAATTATGTTCTGCCCTGACCTCCATATTTATAAAGATGATTTTTTGAACCCATAGAAAACCTAACATTTATTCTCATTAAATTTTATCTCATTAGATTCATCTCAATGTTCTATCCTGCCAAGATCTTTTTGGATATTGGCTCTACCATTCAGCATGTTAGTTATCTGTGCCAGCTGTGTATTATATGCAAATCTATCAAGTCATCCATGCCTTAATCCAAGTTATGGATAAAAGTGATAAACAAAATAGGGCCACGCTCAGATTCCAGGGGCATTTCACTAGAGTTTTCCATCGAAGGTGACATTAAACCATTGATGGCTGCTTTTTAATCTAACGATTTGA